GTGGTAGAAAACGACTAATACGAAGGATATAATACAGTAATGCACTTGCCCGCTTCAAAAACTGGTGCAGAACGACTTTGCCAAACCGCACCAAACGCAGCCGCACTGCCACCCACCGGTCCGCAATGATGAGGACTGTATAGTGTAGTTCGCTGCGGACGGTTGGGCGTGTCAGGCGGGATGAGTTTGGCGCGGTGCCAAACCCGTTCTCCACCAGTTGTTAAAGCGAGCAAGTGATATGACTGTATCATATCGTTCGTATTACTCGTTTTCTACCACTTTTTGTCGCATGCGCGCTTCAACAAGAAGGCAGAGAACGGCTTTGACGGCGTGACACACTGCCCATGCCCAACAGTCCGCAGCGAACAAGAGTATATATCTGTTGGTTATCTGACCAGAGAATCTCTGCAGTCGTCTAATCTGCGTGTCTGGTTTCACTGTTCCAAGAAATGTTTGCTGGAGGACCCCGGGGCAAGAAAGAACTGGTGAATGTGTGGAAGCTGAATGTGCCTTAGATGTCAGGATTTCAGAATGATAAAATAGAAATAACATAATGAAATTTGAAATATAGTCATAATTTCCAGAACTTTTCCTCGCCATTTAATAATCGCACAGTGTAATGGGGGTACATATATGTGGGAAGATCCTATACATACTCTACCACTTTGTTGCCCTAAAATAGGTTTGAACTAAGAATTTCAGATTCTGGTATTTGCCTCGACAAAGGAATATTGCGAATTCACTGATGCTGTTGTACTGCCTCTGCGATTTACCGGGCCTTGGGCATGCACGACCTGCCTGCTCGATTCAGGATGTGCAAGCAAGAATCATGATCGACAGCACTGTTGCTATGCCATTTTCAGGCGGCAGGCAGCGTGGATACCTCGCTGTGTAACGTTAAGCACAGGCGGGAGCAACTACAATGCACGCAAACGAACATCTTGAAAATGTAACATTTTCGCATAACTTTATCACTGAATGAGGTCCTGTGTTTTTCTATGAATTCTTGACACAGGGCCTTGTTCGATCAGCTCGTTGTTGAGAGTCGACGGAAGACAGTTGCTGTGCTTCCATTCTACCACGCTTCAGGATTTTGGGCACTCCTTTATTGTCTTCTGGAAGGATGTCACACTATCATTATGAAGTCGTTCCATCCAATTTCTATGCTTGAAATCATTCACAAGTACGAGGTACGTTGTCATTTTAGCCTAAGCCCTAGCCAAACGCGTATTGTCATCGCGCTTTCCTTTCTGGTTATTCTCTACCTCTGACTATGTGTTGCGGCAAGTTTCGGTTAGGACTCAAGTGTGCTGCACCTTTAGGACAGGGCGGGCTGAGCCCATAGAGAGTACCCGGGCATCACTGCCCTTCAGCCCCATTTCCGCGCGCTCTCAAGTAGAAAATGTTGCATTTGTACAACTGCCAACCCATTTTTCTCGCACATGGGAAGGACTGTCCTTGCAGACGAATGTACAGTTTGTCGTCAGATTGGTTTTATTCAAAACCATTTCTGTCATGCCATTGGCAACGCCTACCCAAAGGTGTTGTACAAGGGAAAATGTAGCTGTAGGATTTTTTTTCAGGTAGATACTCTAAATGTGGTGCCATCAATTCTGTCGTTTCTCTGTCGAATGAATACCGAAAGCTACGATCTCTCGTCTGTTCGTACAGTTCTTTGTGGTTCAAGTCCCTTGGGTCGAGAACTCAGTTCTTCTTTTCTTGAAAAATTTCCTTCTGTTCAGAATTTGATTCAAGGTGAGACTTTTCGAAAAACGCTTTACAACATGGAAAAAATTTTATTGTTTCTTGATACTGCGGTTTAACGCCCGCAGTACGCCGATGACGATAACATGACAAGAATGCTGAGTTATGGCAAAAAGTGGGCCACAACGGATTCGAACCGCATCGTTCTGCTTAGCCGGCAGAAGCGTCCCTATTACGCTGACCGGGCCACTTGACCACAACTAAATGGCTTTATGCTCTGCCTAGCTACAACTCACACGTTCAACGTGGATGAGCGTTAGCGATATCAACAATAACAGCCGGTTGAAACTTTATTGAAGAAGCCGTTCAGGCCTTCGGTTTCAGTCTGCCGATGTATCGGCACGGGCTCATCCGTTGACGTGTGATCCGTCTTGTTAGAGCGCTACTCCCGTAGGGCCACAAGATAGCCATGAGCTGAATCGTTTCAAAAGTGGGCCCCGGTAGCGTAAGCGAACGCAACTGCCGGCTTAAGTCGAAGATGCGTGGTTCGAATCCCGTCCGTGCCCACTTTTTGCGCCATAAGCTCAGATTCTGAGTGTAGTTAATTCGGTTCTTCTCCTCGGGACAACGGGAACCTGTGTGGATTCTCCGCTAGGCCGTATTGGGTCTTAGAAAATAAAACAGAATTTTAACATCCATCAATTAAAATATGTCGAGCACGAAAATTCCTAATTGTGCATTTATCAAAGCCAGCTTAGAGGACCATTGATATATGGTTTTTTCAGAGAGTTCGATTACCAGCCTTAGGTACATCGTTGTTGGGTTATTTCCTAACAGGGGGGTCGTATGTGTCACTGGGACGAGGGATTACGGTCGAATTTGGGCTGATAAATATTGATTTGCGATCACTTCTTTCTTCTGTGTTCCACAATGTTATAGAGGGTAGTGGGTGTATTTTTCATTGTTGGAATGGGAGCGGGTCGTCGGTCCCCTTCCGACTTCTGACGAAACAGTCGCTAACTTTCCGAGATGTTTTTCATGTGTATTATACACCTTTCCGGCGCCCTCGATAGTTCCGTATGAGGAGGCGAACCGCGCGGGAGTGGGAGGGGCCAGTGGGTCGTACCCCCGGTCAAGAAAGTTGGTATGGTCGTCAACTTTGACAAAATCCGCAAACGAAGGATGAGTCTGCCGGTCCACCCTTCTGACGACAAATGATCTCTCGGGTACCAATGCAAACCCCCGTCAAACCTGACGAACAAGATTGTTTCGTTGCGTAGCTACTTTACCGAGCTTTCAGGTTACGGTATGACAGAAATTGTGGTTCTTAGCCACATAACCCCACTTGGGCTTATCGACGAAAAGCATCTTGGTAGCTGCGGTAAGCTGTTGCCAGGATTTGAGGCTGAGGTGAGCTTCCAACGCAGGCAGTAGCTAATCTGGGACTAACCTCGTGTATAGCTTGATACAGTTAAGAGACGAAAATGGAGGCGTCGTCGATGGTCCCTATTGTCCAGGCGAGCTTTATCTAAAATCACCGACGGTTATGCGTGGATACCACAACTCTGATGGATACTGCAGATCCGTTCGTGGACGGATGGCTGAAGAACTGGTGAGCGATTCAGCTACTGAAATTGTTTTCTCTACAGCGTTTCATCGCCGTAGTTCTGAAGTGTGCGGCCCATTCGGCTAAACTCTTTGACGTCAATCATTCCCTTTTGGACGCCACTCGCACTTAGAGCCGTTGTGGCTTATACACTGGTCTGCGGGGGCCGGTCAATATACGGTCCTATCCTCTTAGACGAATCTTCTACCGACTCACTGTCCTCGGAGAGCACAACCCTCGACTGGCCTAGGCGCAAGCCGATCCAGGACCTGAACCCCGGACCGCACGTGTGGTAAGCGTGCCACTTGCCATCACACCACCTCCACCCTCTATTGGGATAGGGTATTCAAACACGGCCATATGGAAGTGTGGACTTTTGTGGTTGAAAGTCAGTGGGGTACAGGCCACAGAATCCAAGTTGCCTACTAGTCTTTAACGGATGTGTATTAGTCTCGTAAGCAGCTGGTGAACCTTTTTTGAACTAGTCCAAACTAACATCCATTCTGGTACAGTAGTGATGTCGCCTAGAAGCGTTGCTGAATGGAACTTTTCAACTTCCGCTAATCGATATTGCAAAATAAAACACACTCCAAGCAATGTGGAGGTCTGAGTGATCAGTTTTAAGGAGACGTACTGTACTTCGATGAAGATGGGTTTTACTTCGTCGTCGATCGAGTGAAGGATCTCATCAAAGTAAACGGAATACAAGTTTCGCCATCTGAATTGGTGAGTGATCTTCCAAGAGTTTCTCATGAATGAATTCATTTTTTGGCCAAAACTTCTTTGTTATTTCCTTTGTCGTAAGAGTACGCTAAACGCTGGAGATTCCTTCAAAGTAAAGGGGAAAGACCGTACTTAGCTGCCAATGAGGGAAGAGAGGTTTTATTTGGCCTGGTGAGGTGCAACACCCCCGTACCAGGGGATATTGGTGGGCGTATCAAGGGAAATTCCCCTCACCGTCATGGCCGCCCGGTTTGCCATGCTTCGATGCTACCATAAAGGGGTCATCATAAAGGATAAAGTCTTTGCCGCTGATTAAGCCTGCTTGGAATGCGGCAGGCATTCGACTTGCATTCAGATCGTAGTGCCCCATTCAAGGCACATCGTTGTTGGAGATTCATCGAGGGCGGGGGTCGCATTGGGTCAAGAAAATTTTTTTTGATAGTTGATCTTTCTTGTTTCAGGGGCACTGTGAAGGG